ATTCCTGCTCCTGCTCCCACTCCTGCTCCTCTTCCTGCTCCTGATCCTGCTCCTGCTCTCACTCCTGCTCCTGCTTCCCCTTCTGCTCCTGCCCTCTCCTTTTTCCCCGCATTAAGTGTGGGGGGAACGGCATTTCCCCATTGATCAGCTGCATCTGCTGCTCAGGCAATTTTCCACAAGATCCTGGAAATATCCCCTTTTCCATGATGGCTCTTTGGCGCTGGAGTTATCAGCGCTTGCGGGCCGAGTCCCGGCCATTCATCTTCTGCAGGGGCCTTGGAGACCCCCCAGCCGTCCTGGAGATTTATGGGCGCATCTGAGGTGTTTGTTCTGGGGGAAATAAGGGCTCTCAATCCCCACCAACCAGCTGGATTTAGTCAACATGATTCAAAGTGTTTAAGATGTGGAGCAGAGTCCATGAATCCTTCCCAAAACCTGGAGTGATCCCCAGGCTGCCTGGCAGAGCCCTACACTGCTCCAAGCCATAACCCAGGCGTAGAGCGGCCCCCAGCCACACCGCTTCCCGCGGGGGGTGCAACCGAACGGGTGCCGGGGCCGTTCCCAGTGCTGCGGAGCCATTCCCAGTGCTGCAGAGTCATTCCCGGCGCTGCAGGGCTGCACGTGCTCCAGCCGCAGCCCTTCCGCCCCGGAGCTCTGCGCACGCCGCACACACGGGCACGCTCGCCCGCGGCTCCAGGGAATTAACGCACTCAGGAGGCACAAGGCGACGTTGCCGCGTGTGAACACTGGCCCTCCGTGGCCCCTGAGCACCCACTTCCTTCCCGCAAAGAAAGCAAAAACGGGAGCCGGGCTGAGGCTCCGTCTGCTTCCAGCAGCGCTCCTGTGTGAGTGTGAGCATTTCAATAACAAAAGCTTTATCATGTTTCTTAAAACACAATGTATCTTATGCTGGCAGAGCACAGCCAGCAATAAAAGGCGTCAGCGGGCACAGTCGGCGCTGCTGAACGCTCCTCAAGTGATATGTTTTGCTCAGGATGCTGCAAGGCTATTTTCAGACAATCAGCATCCCTGGTGACATGTGCTAGGACTGCGGATCCTACACACCAAGACTTCGATCAAAATCCTCATAAAATTTCCCTGCAGCCACCCAGCAACACAACCAAAAGCTTCGATTTCCTCCCTGTTTTGCAGGCGGTGACCCGAGACAGTCACTTACTGGTAGCAGTGTAGAGCAGGGAGAGCAGGAGGCCGAGGAGCAGCTTCATGGCAGGAGCCTTTGTCTCGCCGTCCTGGGCAGGGAATCTCCTTGGGAATCTTCTGGGCTGCTGAAAGCAGAGAGGGAGAAGGGAAAGGGGGGTCTGCAGGTGCTGCGGAGCCTCTGCTGCTGACGGGCACCGGCCGGGGATGCTGTGCAACGGCTGGAGCCGCGCGGCCGAGAGTGGAGGAGGAGGAAGGAGCTGCTTCCTCCCCAAGAGCTCCGTGTCGGGACCCGCTCCGTCTCGGCTGAGGTGCCCTGCGGTCAAGACTTCGATGGGCCGGTGGCTGCTTGGGGGCGGCGGAGGCAGCTCTGCGCAGGACCGGCCGCTTCCCGCGGCGTCCCGGGCGCGCACGGAGCCGCGCACGGCGCCTCCGCTCCGGCAGCGCCTCCTTTCCCTGCTCACCAATGGGACGGAGCCTTCGGACAGGACAGGGGCTTATTGCGAGGGTCCCAGTTAATGAGCAAACTCCCAGCACGGCTTTGACCTCCATGTCAGGTCTCTGCACCTTCTATATCGTTAATAAAGATCTGGGAATCTCCTTTCCCCATCATTTGCAAATGCTCATTATGGGCCAGAAGATCTGTACAAACGTAACCCCTCCCCTAATACTGGAAATCAATTTTTTTCTTAGAGCACCAGGCTACTGTCCCATTCTCTCATTAACTCATGTGTAATGATGCACATATTCCCCATTTTGCTTGATTATTCCTACTAATACATCTAAAATCGTCAGTACGCTCAAAAGAATTCCTATCAATACATTTTCAAGGATAGGACAAGTATTCCTACACAACTGATGTACAGCAAACTTGGTCTGCGGGTGCCATGTGGTCAAAGCACACAACGGCTTTTCCTGCTTTGTGGCCCATGGGTTATAGGAAAAAAGGCCTAATATAGGCCTCTATAAGGCCCTTATAGGAAAAGCCCCTATAGGAAAAAAGACCCCAGTCTCTTTCCAAGACAATCCACCTTGGAACTGATTGCCATCTGTATTAAGGTACACTTCCTCCATTTTTTTGGAATTTTAAGGAAATGCCACTCCCGGAAAACAGCCTTCTCTTTCACCACCTCCTTCCCTCCAGCTACGGCTTGGCTGGTTGCTGGGGCACTTGCACAACGAGGCAGATGACAGCTTTCTAAAGAGAACGTCAGGAAATTCCTTTGGTTCTCAATCAAATTTGTTTAAGATCTAAGAGTACTTTGAAGCTAAAAGCCAGGTAGGATGACGGTGGTGAGGGAAGAGGAAATCAAAGGAAGCAAGATAATTCATTTTCTCAAAGACGGAAATAAGCCGTTGGGAAAACAGTTTTTGTGTGTGCAAATCTTAGACTTTGCAGAGGCTTCGCAATGCTACTGCTGGAGTTTAAAGCACTGACTTCGGTCTTGACTATCCTCCTCTTGCAGTATTTTTCAGCTTTATTCTCCGATGTTCCTCCTGGCCGCCAGCATCTTTACACCGAGTTTGTGTTTCTTAATGCGAGCTTTGTTAATGGGCAAAGAATTTCACCTCATCCCCTTTGGCAGCAACCACCGTCCAGCTCTTGGGGACGCACCTCCCACTAACGACCAGGATGATGGATGGGCACTGGACACCACCACGTGCGTTAAATCTCTGGGCTATAAAGCCCAGCAATACATTACGATAGAGAGCCCCGAGCGGTTAGGAAAGGACTTGTGCAATTGCATGGCACAAATTTATATTCCAGGACTTGAAACACATAACATCTCACATTGCTCCGCAGCCGTTTTCCAAGGGGCCTTTGCTCCAGCACAATCACGCAAAAGAGAGATTTTCCTGTCAGGAGTTTTCTTTGTCATCTCCCTGGATAATGTTACTTTTGAACAAATCAAGCCAGCTTTTCCCTTTTACTTTGTTTTCCACTGAGATAATTTCTCATGCCAAATCCCTTAGTTCTTGCTCAACTCCGACTTCCCCTGTGGTTTTTCTTTTTTCCTCCTTCATTCAAGATAAGTCTCTGTCTACTCCTGAGGTCGCGAGCATCATTATGAGCTGATTCCCCTCTCCTACGGGCTTTGAGCAGATTGATACCAACAGCACAGGAAATGGCTCCACGGACCCATTCTACCCTTGGCTGCGCTTGGGCAGACCCCGTCCTCGCCGCATTCCCAGCGGGTGACACGTAATCGTGGAGCAGTCGGGATGCAGCATCTCCAGTGCTCCAAAATGCGCAGTTGGTGGAAGCAACAAGAAAAGGGGCAGTGGATGAAAACCCGAACAGAGGGCACGTGCGTGGAGCAGGGCTCGAAGGGAGGCCTCCCCGCGTGTCCTTCCCACCAATGCACTCGCCAGCTGGCAGCTCCGCGCTCTCGTTTGGGACCTGCCGACCCCGCAGGATTTCTCTGGCTTCCCGCGCCACTGCTGTAAATCTCCCCTGAAAGGCTCTGCTCCAGCACCTCGACCACATTGCGTGACTTCACAGCAGAGAACCAGGAAAAGGTAAAATGCCTAATTTCCACTAATTCCATTTGGGCTCAGCTCCATGTTGATGACTTGATTTGGGGTTGGGCCCTCCAGATTTCTCCCTCTCATAGAAGAGTGCTCTCAAGTAGCAAAACATTAATGAAGTGGGAGGACATTCTGCATACTGGGATCTTGGCTGGGGAGACAAGCTTCAGAGGTCAGGATGTGGCCTCCACAAATGCTATGGGATTTGCTAAATGTCAGGTCACAGGAGATGGGCTGGGCAGGCCTTACCTTGAAGTCTCACCCGAAAGAAATATTTTCCTTGCTTTTTTCCCCCCAAACTCTCTTGAGTAAGTTTTATACCCTCGCTTTTGACACAGAAGGTAGTGAGATGTGGAGCTCAGATCACAGGCCTGGACGGACATCTTCAGCTCTTTCTGGGATACACTGGGCAAACATGGCCTCCCTCCCCCTCTGCCTCACTCTACTGCAGGATGAAGGTTGGGAACATTTCGGAGCACTGAGGTAAGGCATGTTCCCTTCTAGGAGTTAGCTCCTAAGCAGGTGGGTTCAGGACAGCAGCTTCCCTATGGATCCCAAGAGGTCTTGGAGGTTAAGAAATTCCGAAATATTTCACCATCACCTGGGCGGCCCTGTCTGCTGATGTTGAGCCTCAATAGGTCAAGAATTCATGGACCCGGGACAATTTGCCCGAGGAAAAATGTAGCAAATTTTCTGAATGAAGGCTTCAAATTCTGCTGTAATCACACCAAAGTTTAAACTTTATGTAATCAATGTGTCGTCCAAACTAAAACTTTCCTTCATGCTCAGTAACCATGTTTGGAGGCTGATTAGGACCCTACCTTGAGCTTCCTGAAGAACATGTGCCAGCAGCAGCCCTTGGTGGTGTTCCGTGCTCTTGCTCGTGTTTACTCAGTGCTCGCCGTGCCCGTTAGCGCTCTCTGGGCTAGCTAAAGTGCTTGTCACTCACAGAGCGATTAAAAGAAGCTAAATACTTCTGACGGGGACTTGTTTGAAAAGTCTTCACTTGGAGCTGCAAGCCCAGGCTTCTCTACTCGGTGGATGAACCAGAAAGTTATTAATTATTCTGCTCTGGAGCAGATGTTTATGTGTTTGAAATTACTGGGTAACTGAGTCACTGCTTGATTTGTTGCCAAAATCTGGATTGTAGCAATGCAAACGTGGACTTCATGTTGAAGGGGGGATCAGTGCGTTGCCGCAGGAGCAGCCAAGGAGTGGAAGAGCATCCTGTCCTGCGCTCCGGCTCCGGCAGCTCCGGGACCTTAAAGGGACGCAGCCGAGAGCTGTTCTTCTGAAGTTTGACCCAGTTAAGGTCTGTTTTAAAGTAACAGAAAATGACAACCAAAGCTCATCCAAATATCAAGTCTAAATCCTTGATTACAATTAACGGCCATCTCTATTGCCACTTGGCTTGTATTCCCCCTCACCAAAGGAACAGGGGATAGTGTGGTGAATAACTAGAATAGCTGGATAATATTCCTAGGGTGGAAGGGGTGGTAAATAGGTCGGGAGATAAAAGACTTAAAAAAGACTTATTTCACATCCCTCTTCAAGTGCATCAGAGCAGGAAAAAAAATGTTCCTGGTAAGGAAAGAAAAGTTGAGGAAATAAATAGTATTTTTAGATTTTCTATGAGCAAAATAAAATGCGTTTATCCCAGGGCACTGGGCCAGGACAAGTGGCAATACTTGTCTTACCTGGTGCAGAAGTGCTGCAGTGACGACTGTTTCTGTGATCTGCACTTTGGCTTCCCCAGGGCACTGCCCACAGAACAGGGTTTTATGAGCGCTAGGAAGGCACCGGTGCAGTGTTCCAGCAACAGCGAGACTGGATGCATCCAACTTCCCTGTTGACCTTCCTATTTCTCTGCCTGTGTCAGATACCTACAGGGGTGCAGGGAGACAGACAGCGGTCAATTTTTGGTAAAGGTCACATCTGCTATTCAAAATTTGACTGCCAATGAACCCCTTACTTTCAGATTCCCACTTACAGTTTTTGTCCTCAGTTTTTGGTCCTTTTCTGCAGGGTCGCTTAAAGGGAGGCCAGCACAGACCCTGGTGCTGGGATTCTTCCCACCGGCTCCAGCCATTTCTCACATTCCTGCAGGTTTCCCCGGCTCACTCCCTGATTTTTGCAGCCTTCACAGTTCTGGTCAGCAATTTAGGGTAATCGGTAAAGGAAATGTTGCGTGTCCATGACTAGTCCTCCCTGCCACTTCCTTCAGTCCCTGATATATTATCTGTAACCAGACTCTTAAAATCCTCCCTCTCCTCAGACTGATGGTAAATTCTTCACTGGCCTGGAAGGAAAATTCTCTTTACCAAGCACAAAGTCTGTAAATCACTTTTCTTGGTGAATTTCCTTGCCCAGAGAATGAATAAGCAGCTGAGAGCAGAAAGACCGAGTACGAGGGAAACCACAGGCCAACCACCAACAAGTTATTTTATCTCACTTCAGATTTACAGAGGAAAATTGCGTCTCCTGAAACTCCCCTTCCGTGAATTGCAGCCGGGCCATGCTCCCCACATATAATTGGCTGCTCTAATTGGATTTTCCCTCCCGTGCAAGGAGCTGGCGATGGCTGTGCCGCGCGCCGGGG